CTGTTCACTTAGGTTTCCCCAGAGCAGAATCCAGCAGAGCAATTTCTTTTTCTCTCTATTCTCTCTACTGTGATTTTGCTCACTGGTATCCTGAGAACTTGTTACATTGCCATAAGGTTGTTCTTACATGAAGTTAATTCTCTCTTACTCTGATTCATCCTGTAATCCAAATCACAAAAGCTAAGACCATAGAGATTGGAAAGAATGTTGTTTGTTGGTCAGGCATGGAGACAAACATTTTTAACACCAGAGACTTGGAGGAAGAGGCAGGAGGGCACAGTTCAAGTCTAGCATGAGCAAAGGTAGGAAGACCAATTTCTCAACTAAAGCTAAAACCACAAGTGTTGGAGGCATGTCTCAAGTAGGAGAGCACCTGAAGTGCAGGACCCTGGATTCAATACCAGCACTACAGACAATATTGTCCGGGCTGTGCCTTTTTCACAAACATGATTAAGAGCAATTGTGAAGAGTCATAGAGAGTATGCTCGTGAAGCTACATTCCCCAGATGAGAAATCTGCACCTGTTCTGGGGACACTCACAAGAACGTTCAGCTTCCTTGTCCTCTATAGGTTATTCCTGGATTTCAATCTCTCAATGAAGCATTGATCCCCACTTTGCAAAACCACTCCCAATTGATAGCATGCATACGGTGACAGTACCCATAGCAGTCAGCTCTGTCACCACTAGGCCATAAGATCCTAGCACCATTCTGATCCTTCAACTTAAATTCAGAAACTTTACTTCTATTGTTATTTTTAAGGTTCAAGTCCATAATCTCTGCTTCAACATCAGAGTTGTGGAGAGAAAGATGTCAGCATCCAGTGAAGAATGAATGTGGTTCCCTCAGGACTGAAAGTGGGGAGCTCACCTGATGGTTTGTGGACACTTCTCTCTGATATCTGCAGGACCCTCAGGTCAGCAGTGGTGTTTTGGCATCCAGATCAGGTATTGTTCCCTGTCTCTCAGGGACTCCACTGGATCCTGGAAGGCTCACGGCCTTGTGTGTCCATTTTTAGCACTTTGGGCAGTCTTCATGGACTGAAGGGCAGTCTGGTCCAAGGGGGAGAAACATCCATTTAGATTTATTTAGATTAGCCATTGCAGCATGTATCTGTCTATGTATTTGCAAACTCTTATTTAGTAAACTAACTGGAGAAACTACTTTTGCTGTCATGAACCTAAGGTTTGTGTTCAAGTTTTTTGGAGCTTGGTGACCTGAATCTGTTAGGAATCTGCCATCTTGTATGCCATCCTGGAAATCTATTTCTCATCCCTTTATTCTGTCCTGTTGATCCAAGTAGCCAAGCTTTTAGGATCAGCTGTTTGCTGTAGCACCACATTGATTTCTGGATTGGGAACATTAGTCTTCTGGTGTTGTCTTTTATGTCTTCATGTGTTGTGAGTGACAGCTTCTTTCTCTTTCATATGATGATAACACTGCATGAAAGTTAGTTCACATGCAACAAGCTCAAATTGTTAGAGTGAGAGAGAATAGGATTTTGTCTTTACACAGTTGTTATTTTACCATAACTGTAACCCCACATTCACCTTCCCTGAGGAAATCCTGTGTCCATTGTCATTCAACTCCTCGCCACACAGACCATGCAAATTACTTTCCTATTTTCTCTTCCTATGAATCTGGCTTCTATAGACACTCATGTAATGAGAATCATAGAGCATGATGGTTTGTATTAATTTTCATGATATTTTCAATAATTATTTATGTGGATGTTAATGTCGGCTGTTTTTATGGGTTGTGAATAGTCAATTCTATGGTTATATTCCAGTTTGTTGACCTTCATGAATTGACACAGGATATTGCTCCTTTTGTGCTTCAGTTAAGAATTACACAATGCAAGATTTTCTGTCAATATTTAGTCTCAGTTCTCTTAGGTATACACAAAAGATAGAAATTCATTTGATATGATAAATTTATTTTAATACTTAAGAGATGGTTAAACTCTTTCCCAGAATGACTTTGTCACTTCACATTCTCATCGATATTACATGATGTTATAATTTCTGCAATCCACATCAACACTAGCTAATAGCTATAATTTTACCATATGCATACATATTGGCCTAAAATTGATGAAATTGCATTATTTTCTAAGCCAAAACACTAGATAAACGAAGTATTTTTTCTTCGATTTCACTTGTGATAAAGTATCCAGAATTAAGAAATCCATAAAGACAGGAAATAGTTATGTGTTTGGGTCAACTTTGGCAGGGAGAAAAAAAGGCAGAATCAAAAGTGATTGCTAAGCCACGTGTGCAGTACAAGCCTATAATCCCAGCTAATCAGGATGCAGAGGCAGGAGGATCAGGAGTTGGAGACGAATTCCAGGGAAGGATCAGTGAGACCCTATCTTAAATACAATATACCAAGAAAATGGCTGCATATGCATCAAGTGGTACAGACACTTCCTAGCACACATGAAGCCCTGGGTGTGGACCACAACACTACTCAAAAGGGAAAGAGTTATTGAGTGTTCTGCCCCTTTTGGGAGTACAGAAATATCTAAATTCTAAGGCATTTTGGTGGTTGTGCACATTTGTGAAGGAATATATGTCGAAATGCTGAGCTGTAGCTGCTGATTTTGGAGATGAAGGGCAATCAACACACTTCAGTAATTATATAAAATATCCAGGATTTTACATGCTAATATCATCTGTAAATTTGCTTGAAGAAGAATTTCATGAAAGAATTACATGTAAGGTTACTAAATAAAATGAGGGAGAGACTCATAGGAGGGAGAGGGGCCAGGAAAGCCAGGACTTCAGAGGTTTGTCTGCCCAGAGCTGAGTTCTCATGGTCCTGTGCTGGGTGCCTGTAGTAAATGGTCTTGAGCATCCACCTGGTTTGAGCTCCTTGGTTGTCTTGAACATCCCATTGGTATTCATGTACTATGGAAGTCCTGACCCACCTTTCATTGTTCAGATCCTCCCCTGTGGTACTTACAGTCTTACACTGAGGACCCCAGCAGTTAGGTGTGGTCTGTTTTCCCCTTGACTTCCTTTCAGTGTCTTTTCCAATTCCGTCCAAACTTTTTGCATAATCATATCAACAATTCATTTCTACATCCTCCTAATATATATACAGGACCTTTTAAAACTTTGAAAATAAGCCCAAAAATGTTTTATTTCCTATGCTCTGGCATTTTTTCCACATGTGCAGGTGACCTGGCTGCCTGGCTGGTTACTGAGTGGCACCTGTGTTATCTTCAGCTGAAGGGAGGATGAAAGATTCCAGCACCCACTGCCTCCTAAAGTCCATATTTCCCCCAAAAAGGAAGTCTGGCTTTTTAGAAAATTCCATGAATATCACTCCATTTCCATTGGGTACATATGTACCACGGGATGGATTTTCAAGCTCAGTGATCACATCAGAATTTACTCTCAGAAGAGAATTTTTCTCAAAATGCATATTGTGCAAACCTAGTCCACTTCTGGGTCTTCCTTTCACTTGGCCCTGAAATTCAAGACAGTCTTAGAAAGGTATCTGTGACCTGAACCTAGTTTTACTTTTAAATGTAAAATATGAAATAATAATATATAATTGTCTATTCTAGTGCCAACTTTTCATATCTAGGCTTCAATTGTTCCACCCCCACACTAACCATGGCACTGTAGTGAAGGTGTTTAGCAGATGGTATCAGAATCCATGCTCATCAGTCATTCTAAGTCAGCAGGACTGCCCTAGACACCATGGCTGTGTCTGATTTATCCAGAGAGACCGGAAGAAGGTGAAATTCCATGGTGGCCATGCCTTCAGCTCCTGCACAACACTTCCAGGCTGCTCTCTGTGATGATCATTCACACGTCTCTTAGACAAACTGAGTTAACCATGCCTGCTGCCTGAATTGAGAGGTCACATGGGTGTCTCTTACCCTGTCTCCCAAGGAGACAGTAGATGGAGGTGACTTTGTGACATTCAGATGAGAATGTCATTCATATGAGAATATCAGTACTACCTCCACATCACACTATGAACAAGACATCTTTGTAAGCTTCTGTTTGCTGTTTGAAGTGTGTTGAAGTAGAAAGGACAGTGAGAGTCCCTAGGGCCATGGTGGGTCAGAAAATCTTTGTCAGAAGCTTTTTTTGTGCTGTGCAGAAACCACACTCAAGGTCCAGGTAAATTCCTTGGTATTGATATTGGAGACTTTATCCCTCAAACATGGAAGAAGTTTAGAGAACAGAGAGATGTGAGAAAGAAACCTAAGAATTAAGTGGATTTGTTTAAAAAATAAAACAAAATCTTCCTTAGGCTTCTGGTTTAAATTCATACCTGTTTATGGCTCACTGAGCCTGGGTTACCTCTGTCTGAATTGTGTCTGAATCCACAGGCTGTCCTAGTCATGGAGACCTAATCAAGGATCTCTCTTTTCTTATGGGGAAAAGTCTCACTGGGATCCTTGAGCATCTTCAGATCTGGTTCTTGTGACCACTGCAGAGTCAATTCTGCCCCCATAAATGACACTTAGGCATTTATACAGGTGAAAATATGTCTTCCTATTAGCACAAATGTCTTATTACTGCATACAAGTATAAAGTTATACAGGAAAATAATAATTGGTTTCATTGTGTTTTCATGTATGAATACTATGTACTGTGCTGATATGGATCTCAAATTACCTCATTCCCCTTTCCCATTCCTACGTCTTGATTGCCTTTCCCTTCTTCACTAGTCTCCCTTCTACCCCACTGCCATGTTTTTGACCTTAGATTCTACCTGTGAGAGTAAACAAGCAGTTCTTGTCTTTTTCAGTCTGGCTTCTTTCTCTTAATATGAAAATCTGAGCTATTCTGGTGAAAACAAACTTTTCTAATTCAGAGACATGAGTAACAGAGGGCAGTATCCTCAGTTCTAAGACTGTTCATTTTCAGGTAAGCAATGGTTTTGTATTTGACTCTTGAGATGGTGAACCTGCTTTTCACAGAGTCTGTGTAGTGTATGCAACTACTTTCTTTACTAGTGGATGAGAAACTCCAGTACCTTCCCTGGAGCCTGGCAGATCCGGCTTGTGTAGTAATCATTGAAGGTGACTCCAGAGCCTGGACAGAAGAGTCTTAGGGACCACCCCACAGGCTGTACCTCCTCCAACAGATTCCAGAAGCTGAACTTCACACTGAACTCCTGCAAACACAGAGAATCCTGGTCAGGAAAACACATATACCTGCATCTTCCTCTCCCTCATATTCTCACACACACTCAGTGCCTTTCGTTCTCCATAAATCACCTTTTGGAATACCAACAAGGAAAATCCAGGCAAACTCAACTCCATGGTGACGGTCTGTATAACAATTTATGGGTAGAAGTATCAGAGGAAGGGTGCAGAGAGGTACAAATGTCATGATGGAATCTAATGGAAGTTTACATTTGTAGATGAATTAATAAGGCCTGAACCACAGACGTGTTGCATTGGAGAAATTTCTGGATTGATGAATAAGATTCAGGAGTCAGTCAGCAAGGCAAACAGTTTTACTTCTGCAGAAGGGTCTGGTGAGAACACACACCAAACAGAATGTCAGCTCAGGTTTTTATCCCTGATTCAACACTGCCCTTTTTCTAGGAGTCAGCACAGTCTATATTGATTATCTGAAGATGAGGTAAAGGGCAAGGTTAACACTTCACAGTCTTTCTTGATTAACTATTGATGAGGTGAAGGGCATGGTGATCGTATAACATTCTGGGAACTCATGCATTAAGCAAGAATAATGAGCTGCTGTTTGAAGTGCATTTACCTGGGTTGAATATATAATTCTATTGTTTGTAAGCAAAGACAACTTATCTGCCACAACTTCCCCCTGTTCTTTTTGTATTAGTCACTCTTTTCCTCAAATTTGCTTAACATTAGCTGACTTTCTTGTTCAACTATATCCAGGCATAGGATGTTATTCCGTTGCTAGAGAACCTAGCATCTGTTTGGTTAGGGCTATTATAATCCCAAGGACTCTATTCAAAGCCTCATCCTGAACATGGCCAGAAGTACTGTTAGTTGTTTACATCTTTGTGCTCCCTTCACACCTTCCTAATGGGGAACACAAGACCGATGATCTCAGCTTATATGGAATACTTCTTCATCCAAGACCCTCAGCATAGAATAGATCAGAAAACCAGAACAGCAAGGTTCCCAGTCTGGTTGTGGAGCAGGAGGTTCAAAAGGGACTTGAAGGGCAGAGATGGAGAGAGGTGACCATGACCACCTGAGAAAGGTGTTCACTTCTCTGAGAGAAGTGACACAGGAAGGTACATTTTGTTATTGTGTGCACTGATGTATTTTCCCATCTCATCTATAAAGAGAGTGTCACTTCCTCCTTTAATGTGACAGTAAGGATGCAAGTAAGAAGAACCACAAAATCAAAGAAAAAAGACATCCACTCTGGCAGCTGAGATGCTGGAGAGAAATTAAACCACTGAGCCAAACAGGAAGTCCCTTGGCATTCCCTCCTGTACCTGGTTCTGGGCTGAGATGCAGGACTAGATGAGCCTTGATCTCCTCCTGCAGGCCAGGCCTCCTGTCCCATGCAGGGAGGTTTGTGTCTGGTCTCAAACTGAAGTCCCCTCAATGTGTCTCTCTCACAATAATATATGGGTGTGTCTTCAGTAGTCAAAATGCCCAGCCTCAGGGAGGACTTGGTTCTTGTCCAGTATCATGGTAACTCAGCTCTCAAGGGATGGGTTGTGGTAGATTTGCCCATCCACTGCAGTCCCTTCCCTGGGGGCTGGTGGATCCAGCTCCAGTAGTAACCACTGCTGATGAAATATCCAGAGACAGCACTGGTGAGGTCAGGGTCTGTGAGGGCATCACCAAGCCAGGTCCTGACTCCTGGAGCTGCACCTGGGACAGGAGACCTGAGCACAATGAACCAGAGTGAGTTTTGAGTTCAGAAGCAGTTTCCTTATGTGATCCTGCCTGAATACCTGAGACACTCACATCTGGGCCACCATCAGGAAAACACATATCCACAAGTGTTTCATGTTCTTGTGTATGATGTCCATAAATTCCTACAAATACTTCCAGGGTGTGGAAGAACGTGAGTTTAGGCAGCTCATTTGGTGATGTGTTTGAAGATTTGCATTGGTATATACCCTGTATGTAAGTACATAATATGGAGAGCCTAGGTCACTGTCATATGGCTACCCTTGGAGGAGGCTGGGGTCTGATTTCTCTGACAGCAGCCCTCTTTCTCCAGTCAGTCTCACCATCCCCAGGGCCTTCTTCTCTCTGGAGGGAAATGTAGCAAAGGAGTTGATCAGGGATCCAGGTGTACAAATCACACTCAACATAAATATACATACATACACACATACATGTACACACATAAATACACACATATACACATGTACATGAGTCATCTCTCTCTCTATATATATATATGTATATGTATATATGTTTGTATGTATACATTTCTCAAGTGTCCTCCATTCAACAAAGGACTCAATGTGTATCCACTTTCTGTCTCTGTGTCACACTGTGGGAAACAGAAATGATGTCATCACTCTCCCTTGATGAAAAATTGACATCTGTGTCAGATGAAGTAGCCATCATCAGCAGAGGCACCTCTGATATAAATCCAGGTCTGATGTGAATCCCACCTCACAGAGAAGACCCTGCAGTGGGGCGCACAGGTTTATGATGATGAGCATTTGTTGCTTAGTTTCTTCACTCCAGGAAAAAGATTAAACAGGTTTGTAGAGCTAAATATACTTTATGATATATGTATATTGTTTAAAGCACTGTTTCTGGACACTATTTCTGGTATGATGCTAGTGGGAAGGCCTAACTTTAGATCTCTTGCTGCATCTTATAGATTTGGAAGCTAGTGGAAAATGAGATAAAAAGAAAGTGAAATAATAGTGTGTAGCAATGTATGACATGCGACACAGACATTGTCTATGGCATACTCTTATTTAAATTCTCAATATCTCAATATCTTTGGAGTGATCCAAAAAATTCAGTATGAAATGCCAATTTTTATAACAATATTAAATAATGTGAAAAGTATGCCAAGGGAAAAATATCAATTTAAGATAGTCTCAAAATAAATGATAATAACACAAATGAACTTCATCATACAGTTGAATGATGTGTACAATGAACACTGAAATACATTATGAATGAAAGTCAACACAACACCAATAATTTATAAGTAGTATTTATAAGATTATAACATAGAAGTATAAATATTGTTTATTATAAATATTATTATAAATATTATATGTATATGATCATCTCTCTCTATATATATTCATATATATGTATATTATATATATATATTATAATAAATATATATAAATATTATTATATGAGGAAAGAGCATCATTTTTATCCTCTGGTTCTTCATTTGTTTTGTTGTGTTTTGCTCACTGTTATTTCACACCTCATTTCACATACTTTCCAGGATTTTCTACCTTCTCTCTTTTCTCTTCCTACCAACCTAAATTTTATTACTTAGTTATCAACAATTTTACTTTTGCTAATTTGTAAATTTCTAGTTTATCCTCTGAGTGTCTCAACATCCTTATTTTCTTGTATTTAGGTGTGTACTTGATATTTCCAAGGATTTTTACTCCATCTAACTTTGTGGTTTGATTTTGATTTGTGGTTCTGAAGCCTGCTTTATTCTTTGAGTGGGAGTGGGATTACCTCAAGAGAAAGCTGTCTTCCGAGAAGACTCCAATAAAAATGGAGTTGTTTTCCAGCCTAAGAGATGCATAAATTACAACAGAGAAACAAGAAATTTGTAAAGCAATTCAATTTTACAACTCTAGCAGATGATAAGCCATTGATAACTGGATTTAATGACATAAATGGTTCTAATGCTGGGCCAAAATTCAACATTGCATTTAAAAAAAAACCTATTATTTGAAAGGATGAAACTTGCTTTTATTCAAGACATGATTGTCTGTGTTTTGAGTTATTATGGATGAGACCTTTAGTTGGTTACAAATATGATGAAAGCATTTTGCATTGTGGGATGAAATTGACCCTTGGGCCAGGGGTGTAATGCTTTCTTGGAATAGATGGTGTATGCTGACAAGATCTGGTGGCCCACAGGCCTCCCATTCAACCACATGCCTGAAACCTGATTTTTACTCTTCCCCTTCTGAACTTGGATTAACCTAATGGCTGTGTGGATAGCTGCCTGTTGCAGGGGAGGAGGACTATGAAATCTCAGCTCCCCTGTCCAAAGCAGAGTTGGAAACTTGAAAATCTGTCATACCCCTGTTCTGCGCAGTTGGCTGAGGTTTCCCTCTCTGAGTTTGCAGAGTGGTTGTTATGCTCAGAAGTTGAATTGATGAACTCTTCATTGCTGTAATGAAATGCATGAGGGTGGATACTTGTGAAGTACAGGATTGTTGAGCTGACATTACTGGAGTCTTATCACAACAATGGCCCTAATGAAATGCATGAGGGTGGTTAGTGGCAAAGAAGAAGCTTGCTGAGCTCACAGTGGTGGAGTCTCATCACAAGAATGGCTCTACATTGGGCCTCCATTCTGCAGGTATCATAGAGCCCACTATCTGTCATTTCCATTTCATTTACTTTTATTTATTGGTCTATCCCCAAACAGGCTCATGTACTTTTGATGAAAACCACACTGTAATTTTTAATGAGTGAAAATACTATATAGATAATACATTACAAACTCCAATCATCAATTACTTTGATTTAATTTCTTATAAAACTTTATTTCAATCTTTTCTAAGTCATTCAACTTCAAAGACCTAAATTAGATATCTATTTTCCTTAACTAAATCAAATTTGGTCTATCTATCTATCTATCTATCCACACACTTACCATTCATTTACTATTTGTCACCTGTATTGGGATTATCCAGCAAAATACAACCACTACACTACGGAAATGGAGAAATTCCAGTGTAAGCAAGCTGCAAACTAGAGTCACAGTTGGATATGGAAAGTTCTGGTCTAAGTGCAGATGAACAGAAGGCCTGAGATGAAGATGTTCCAGCTGGAAGATATAAAGGAGAGAAAGGGCGATAAAGAGAGAGTCAGAGAGACAGAGAAGGAGAGAAGCAGAGAAAGGCAGACAGGTAGGGAGAGGTAGAGGCTGGAAGAAACATTCCTCAGTTTTCCATCCTACTGGAGCCTTTGTTAGATTGAAAGA